ATTGAGAAGTCTAAGCCTTTACAAAGATGCATATGTGTCTGTCAAATTCCTCTCTATTGTGGCTTTAGTTTGCAATTACACCACAGATGGCTCTGGGTTGCCTGTTCTGTATTTTTAGCTGAAGTTTCTGACATACAATAAACATCTCAGCATTTACATTTTCCTGCGCTCTAACAGCCCTTCTATCCGTTTTCTCAGGTGCTGAGCATGAGCCAGTTTGCTCTTTGAAATTATTCCTCTACTTCTCTCTCTCCTATTCACATTCACCAGTTGGAGGAGGGAAAAAAAAAAAAAAACCTTTGGTTGGTTTGGATGCTTCTCTGTTTATTTTTATCTATCTTGTCTGCTAAATGCGGATTTCCCCCATTAATTGCTAATTCTAGTTTGAGTGCATGCTGCCAATCTGACTATTAGAATCACACTGTGCAACAAAGATACGTCTTCTCACCTGACACTCTCAGCCTGGCAAATGCAACGTTTGTACCAAATAAGAAGTCCTTCAAAAACCCAGGAAAACCCACTGTATTCATATACAAAATACCTTTGAAAACCAACTGGAGAACTAGCCATTGTATTTCCCTGAGTGAAGAGTCTCATCTTGCTGTCGATGAAGCAGAAGTGTTTTGGGGATAGAAAAACACAATAAAGGGAGCCATGCAGGAGGCTCCCCTCTCAGTGGAGCTGGCCAGGAGTTTTCAAAAAATAATTTCTAACCAAATCCTAACATATCAAAAACATGGGAAGAGGGTCAAATGATACACGAGAACTGGTTCTGACTAGTTTCTCACCACAACAGTTTAGGCTATGGGATGTCATCCATAGGAGGACATGGCTACCCCAACGTTAGGGAAAAATAAAACTGGACAAAGTCCTGGGGTTGTAGAAGACTGCCATGTCCTGCAGGTAGAGGGCTGGATCAAATGGTGACACAGGCTATTTCCAGCTTTAGTAACTATGATTTTTTTTTTTTTTAGGGGATGGGGGAGGCAAAGTAGCCAGAGGAACGCAGAGAAGCCAAACGAGCCTGCTGGAGTGTTGTTTACCCAAAGGAGAAGAAAAAAAAAAAAAGCCAACAGGAGACGAAAAGGCTGTGGTGCCTTCTCCATTCCAGGAAGAGTGCCCTGCCCATCACATTTTTTGGTGTGGGTGTGGGTGGGACAAAACAAAAACAAACAAACAAACAAACAACAACAACAACAAAAAAATCACTCAAACTCTCCTGTTCAAGCTATTCCATGTTGCGTAAAATATGGTAATACTAATCTGAGGACAGGCTGGAGCCTAAACCTCCTCTGTCTCAGACGGGTGCCTGGGACATTAGGCAACAGCACCCTCCTTTTTCATCTTGGCCTAGTGACTACTTAATTACGCTAGGCAAAAAGGCAAGTTGGAGGAAAGTGCTACCCTGGCCCAGGCTGCAATTCTGCATTTCCCCCGTAGGGATGGGATGAGATGAGCCCGGGACCCCCGGCACAGGGGATGGACTCGAGCAGCGGCCGCTCCAGCCCTGGGGGCTCTTGTTGTGCAGCCAGTAGGTAAAACCACCTTGCTCCATATTTTGTTTTCGGGCGAGAAGAATCATCTGGTTTGGCTGCCTTATTCCAGGAAGCGGGAGCCTCCCTGGAGCATCTGGACCTCCTCGGGAAGCGCTCGTCCGGCC